TGTGCACCTTACCTCTACAGCTCAGGATGCATCTGTATGCCAAGTGCACCCATATATTAATATATAGTATTTTAATAATTGAGTTGGATCAGATCTACTTGTACCCAAACCCGATCTTAGAGACTTACTTTGCATTATGGGGTGGAATGTTGGGCTGTCAAGATACAACATACCCATAAGAAGAGTGTAGCGGAGTTGAGGATATTGAAATGGATGAGTGGTAAAACAAGAAGAGATAGAACTCAAAATGAATACATTCGAGAGAAGTTAGGTGTGGCTCCAAATGTTGATACTTGATAAGATAGGAGAAAGTAGACTTAGGTGGGTTTGCCATGTGCAGCGTAGACCCATTACAACACCTGTTAGGAGGTGCGAGTTGGTTTAAGTGAAAGACTAAAAAAAAGAAAAAAGTAGGGCCAAAAGGGCATGGTTGAAATTAGTGAGAAAAGAAATGGCGACTTATGGCTTCATTGAGGGTATAGCCCTTGATAGAGCATAATAGCGAACTAAGATTCGTGCAGCCGACCACAAATAGTTGGAAAAATGCTTTGATGATGATCTTGGTTCCTTAATATTTTTATTTTGCATAATAAATAACTAATTTCCATAAGCTAAACAACACTAAGCACTTCGAATCATACTTCTGAAAAAGTGATGCAATTATACTCACAGTAATTTGATTGAAACTCCGGTCAACTGCAATCTGTACAATTTTTCTCCACACATCAGGCTCAACCAGTGCATCAGTTGTTAGGACCTGGAGTTGTAAAGCGCAATTAAATGATAAGTTAATACTTTATCCACGAAGTAATCATGGATGCATGTCACTATAACTATATAAAACGTTCACAAGAAAGAAGACAACAAAGGAAAGCATACACCAAGCAAGGTTGCCATATTTGGATGGATCATGCCAGAGCCTTTAGCCATCCCCCCGACTTTTATACGGGCCCCTGCGATCTATTTAGAGACACAAGACCAGAAGAAATAAGAAAAACACTAGAATAAGATCCTTCAAAATAACTCTTAAATCAAAACAATTCCTAAACATCCTACTTAATAGATGCCTCTAATCTATTAAGTAACAAAAATTACTTAAACCAAAATGATAGTAACAAAAATTACAGGAACTTGATGACCTCAGTCTCAACGGCCACACTCTTGCTCACAAGATCAGTTGTTGTAATGGCTACAGCAGCAGAATCTGCCCTGCGCAAACATAAAACACTTTGAAGCAGAAGATATTTTTGTGTGTGAAGAGAGAGGGCAGGGCGGGGGGGAGGGGGGGAGAGAGACCATAAACACCAAGAACTTTGATATGTAGTCCTATCTATGTTAACTAAGCTAAGTTCATACTCTCACAAAAATCGTGAACCTGGAAAATGACCATTACTCATAAACCAAGACAGAATACTAAAAGCACTATTCAATGATTTTTGTCAATTGAGATGAGACAAACTACAAATAAATCCCTAAAATGTTAATGGAAGTACACAAGAAAAGACATGCATATACCCTTCGATTGTTGATGACAGCAAACTAGTTAGCTTTGGAAGTGACTTTAAAAGAGCCTCCTGCACACAGATTTGGACAGAAGGTTCAAAATATGTCTAGTGAACAATAAAACATCAGTTAATTAAAGATACAACAATAACGTGCAATTTTAATATATATATATATATACATATATATATATATATATAGGAAAAAGCTGGGATTAGCCCACTGGCGCATACAAACATATGAACCCAACGACCAGGATTGAATTTGGGCCGATCTGACTATTATAGATGTCTGCCAGTGTTTGAATTTTATTTATTTTTCTACAAATCCAAATCACTTGAAATTTTAGGCTCGTGTTTATAAAAAATAGGTGAATCTTTGAAAAATAT